CAGATTTTAAGGCTACATCAGACTTCCTGAGCTAGACATATTTAATTCTATGTTCAGTCGCTATTTATAACATTTGGTTTTGCAAAAGCAAATACCAAAATCAAGACGACGATTGTATATTTTTACATATAATTTCAATATTTCAAAGAAAAGCGATAGCTTAATAACGTATTGCCACTGGTGCATCTACCATTACAGCTAATCGACGAGGACCACCCCTTTCAAAAAATGTTTTCGATTTTCCCAGCAGAAATCAAACAGAAAAGAGTCATATTGTCTCAAATAGGTTTCAAAAGACTACTTTTTGACCAGGACTGACACCCCCTTACTGATTTGCTGGGTCTGCCACTGTGTATCGGGTCGTATTCCAGTTGACACGGCTTANTTCAGAGGTCCCTGTTTTCAGTCAAAAGGCATCGATTCAATGATAAGAATATTCCCAAAACACGAGTTCTACAATTCTAGAATATTTTCGACTTGATTATCGCTTGAAAATAAAAATCATTTATTCCTTTATTTTTGCTTTATTTCATAAAGATAAATGATTTCTTTATCTTTACTTTCTAAAACTAAATGATTCATTTATCTTTAGAAAATAAAGTTAAATGATTGAAAAAAAAATTTATCATTTATTTTCTAAAGATAAATGAACCATTTATCTTTATTTAGTAAAGTAACACTAAATGACCACCCCTAAACTGGACGCGGTAGGTTATAGTTCAACCGGTTTCCTTTCATGATAAGCATTTTGAGAGAAGATAAAAGAAAATAACAAGTATACGTATAGATATGTATGTACACTTGTGCATTGGCCATATTTTTGTTCTGTTTTCTTCTATTAATTCTTCATAAGAACAAGTAAAGGGTACATATGCGATTCAAACGAAAGAAAAAAGGCAGTAGCTGGCTTATTCAAAAGTAAATAGTCGTGAAAAAGTAAAATTTCAATGGGCAAAAATTAACTAATGAAAATTAAAACGGGCAAGGCTCAAAATGGAATGGTCAATTGTCCATTTGCCTCCCGCTGGTTACGCCGCTGACTGGAGCCTATCGGATTCTGATACTAGTGTTCCGATTGCAGGTCCCACATCCGGATTCCGATAGGATTTCTTCGGTTCAATGAAATCTATATTATATCCGATCAGATTCGGACACGAATTCGATAGGGTCCTACTATCTGGAGCATTCTCCTTGGCAGCTTGATCGTCATGATGACTTTAGGTTGCCTCTATTTTTTAAGATGATTGATGTCATCAAACGATTATTTTGTTATAATATGTACTTGTCCGTGCCTTCTTTACGAATAGTTTTCTTTCTATCAAAATGTTTACGAATATTTTTAGATTTTACGAATTATAGTCTAAATCTTCGTTATCCTACATCCCAAGTTTTCTTTCAATTATTTTTTATTCCAACAAATAAACAATAATAGTCTTTGTTGCCATTCAAATTCTTACATAAGATTCATACAATCAACGCACTTTCGTACGAAGCCATAAGCATGAAACGTATACTACGCAGTTTTTTCTTGATATTTCTTCAAGCCTCAATTGAAAAGTCAGGACTCGTATTCCTCTTTCTTTCGAGTATGAATCAATGTGAAGTAAACATTGACTTCTCATGGTATCAACACCCTTTTAATTAGTTCATCATATCGATAGAGTTGTTACTGAACACAAAGAGAATTTTAGTGGAGAAATTTTGCTTTCAAGAAAGAAATAAAAGAAAAACCGATGTCATTAGCAATGTTTACCCTAATGCAACTATTTAAAGTTGCCGTTTTCTCTATTACCTATGTACATAAAAACAAATCCCAGAAGTAAACTTACAAAACAATGGGTATCACTGGCTACAAGAAGTTTAAAAAGTATATCATGTTTGTTCGACAAAATCGAAGTTCACCATTGATATATGTTTCAAAAATAAATAGATTACGATATCAAACTGTGCAATATCTCGACCCAATATATAATACATTCGAAAGATTTTTTTCGAAATAACAACTAAAATATTTTTGTCATTTCAATAGATTTCGAATAAAGAATAGATTACTGACATAGCACTATTGAATTGATGAAACAATTGTCATATCTTATCAAAATGTATACTCAATTGTTGGTGATTCAACGAAGATAGATCACTCGTGCCACATTACTTCAATTAAACAAATTAAAAACAATATAGCCAACCTCAATGAAATAAAAAAGATAGTTGTTCCTAATAACGACTTATTAATCAACTTAAATGCAATGAAAAATTTCTTTATCATTCCATGAATATTTATATGAGACCAAAAACATAACACAAAGTGGTTTTTACTCCTATTCTTTGAAACATCCAATTATGTTCTAGTTCCTATTCTTACCGATACTTAATATCATGAAATATTCAAAGTTTTTTTTTTCTTCAGACGGTGCTAATCAATAAAAAGTATCTGTGACATAGAGCCAAGTGTACACAATGATTTCAACAATAAAAATAAATTAAAAAACATGATAGAACAAATAAGTATTCTGAAATAAACGATTACAGCGAACGGATGTTCACTTATTTTATTCGATGATTTCGACTAAAAGTTGTTTTCATTGTCTTTGACGCATTGAAATGTCGATTTTTACCAATATACGGGATGTGTGTCACTTTTTATGTTCGTTACATTACAAGCAACTCTCTGTTCCCGTATCTTTTACGTAAAACTCACGATATTCACCTCTTATTTTCAAATCCATAGTTGTGCAGATAAAAACGTTGATGTTTTTTCATCGCCCGATTTATGCAGCTGCAGTATATTCTATTTTTCTTAAATGAATTTTTTTCACACCCTTGGTTACCACCGTTATTTCAGGGTTTCGTCTTTCTTTTAATTATCGCACCAAGAAAAGATGAAAATAGAAATTATTGTTTTTATATTTTCTTTTAATCACACATATATATTGATCTCTCGCTTGATTTTATTGACTTTCATCTTCTATCAGAAAAATCATAATATAAAAGCATTGCAATTCTCGTCGATGAAAAGAATATTCGAACAACATAACAGTACATCAGTATTTCTTTTTAATGGCATCGGTCGTACATAAAGCAAAGGTGACTCGCATTAGCAGACAAATTTTAACGGTAGATAACTATTTCGATTCGTGAAAAAGTGTATTAAAATAGTTCTCCATTCTAGCAAAATCGACTATCCGATCACTCGATAAATTCTGGTCGAACGTTGGTTCAACGGTGGAAAAAGCGTCGGTCGCTACTTATGAAAGTACGAAAAATCGAGCCTTCAACTGATCAAATACAATTGAATCAACAATACAACAATCACAACAAAATAAATAGTTCATCATTGACTGGAGAACAAACGAGGCAACAACCTACGTATGGAGAATACACAATTAACTGTACGAACAGCATTGGCAATATGAATGTAATGTCAGGATATGAGGACAAATCTGCCAAAGCAATCAAAGTAATGAACTGTTTGAAATTCGTCTTGATTTGAAGTACAGATATCAATGTAATAACTTTACAACCATCATGATATCTCAAAAGAAAAAAGGTCATAACGCAATAATTAGTTGAAAGCTAAGCAAGCATACTTTTAAATTCCACCGAGGAAATAATTAGTTATTTATCTATACGTTGCACAGATATTTTTCTATATAGGCGGCTTATTGAAATTCAATGAGACACTAGATAAGACTTAAAAGTGATGTTGATAAAACAGGTAGTGCCGCGAGACAGTTTTAACAAGAGAATATATTGTATGGATGTGGGTGTCAGTTGGACCCCGAAACCTGAGTTAAATCTATCATACTCACACCCTCACGTTTCGTTGTAATTCTTGCTATTATTAAGACAGAAATGGCCGCTTGTGTCATGAAACGTTACTTGGGCAACTTACTTTAAGTTTAACTTTTTGTCTTTTACAGCCAAGAGAGATTGATCTGTCACTCTCAGGTAGTTACTTTAGCACAAGCTTCAGCAAAAATTCAGCTGGACTGATGCAGGAAGGTAGTACTAATTGAGCTTCCAAGATAATTCCATGATATTATTCTATTTAGATACTAAAGCTAGGAGAAACACACGACGAAGGTAAATGTGTATCATCTTGAAACTTTCTCTAAACTAAACATGCATGAATTATTATGTAGGCGTGCAGCGTTCATCATGTCTCCTCGCTGTTGTTGTATTCTGGCAGTAGCCGTTTTCGGTGCCATTTTACTTGCAACATTGGTAGCTGCTGTCATCATGATCAGTAAGTTTCAAAAAGATTCACAAAACAACCATATCGTAAAATATTCCAGAAAATTGTGTTTGTTTTTCATGCATCACCCGCGGAAAAAATTTCATTAAAAAAACGCGTTTAACCGCGGTATTGAAAACCGCGGTTTCAAGCGTTATTTGGGTGGTAAATATCCTCTTCGCCGAAAATCACATTGTCGAAACGAGGATCGCCGAATCAAAGATTATCGAAATGCTTATTGATAAGAAATTATGATGTTAATATTGACGATCTCTATTTCGATAATATTCATTTCGGCGATCTTGTTTTTCGATAATGTTTGTTTCGGCGATGAGGTATACAACCGTGTGGGTATGGGTTCCATTCTTCTCTTCAATTGCTCCCACACCCACCCACACTCACACCCAATTTCACTTTTTCATAGTCATCATTTTATATTACATGTAATTCGAGTTTTCTCATGAAAGCAAATATTTCTCTACGGATAGAGTATAGAATTTTAAGATTTTCTCCACTTGATACTGAAACATTTCCATTATCGATACTATTTATCATTGATAAATTCTATTTTCAACGTTCGTCTGTCTGGTATAAATTTTATTCACGAAACTATTCAAAATCAAAATGTTATCTGCCCAGGAAAAACACTCTCTTGCCTTGTAAAATCTAAGTAACTAGGTTAGAAATATTGAAGATCCCAGTCTTTCAACTTCATTACGGAGTTACCGAGGGAGATTTATTATTTAAGTTTAAGTGACATCGTAGGCTCATAAAGACTCCTATGATTTTGGATCAGTTCACTTAAGTACTATGTCGGACGGGACGATTAAACTATTTGGAACTAGAAAAAGAAGTATATATGTAGATAAACGCACCACATACGGAAGAAAAGCCAAAACGTATATAAATAAAAATTGAATAGATCGAACTGAAAAGAACTTTTTGTATATTCAATTAGCCAAAGAAAACAATGGTCCAACAAGAACCTCAACTACCGGTAAGTAGATATTCACATTCGACTATGACTGATAAAAGAGAACTACGATGAAATCTTTAGTAACCACCACAACTGCGACTACAACAACCACAACAACAACGTCGACTGCTACAACTTGCACTCCTTCATGTTTGTTCAGTTGCACTATATGCGTGCATATAATAGCTATGAATTGTCGCTTTAGGTACTAATAACACTTGGAATCAAACAGGCGTAGCTCTGGCCGACACTAGTTCTAATCCAGTTCCGTCTCCAAGATGTATTATGCTTAATGGAAATGATACAGTTTATGTTTGTGGTCACCAAGTTGGATACGTTGAAAAATTTGCGATAAATGGCACTAATCGTATGGCAGCGACCAGCAACAGTGCCGATCATCTTGATTATATCAGTTTTGATAAAAGTGGAGCCTTGTATACCACCGATCATAATACCGGTACGGTGCAATATTATCCTGCCGGTTCTACAGTTCCTACTGTACTAGTAGGAGCGCCATCTTCGATCGCTAGTCTCACTGACCCAAGAGCTACTGCTGTTGACAGCAATTATACGCTTTACATCAATGATCGAAGCAACAATAAAATCATGATGCTCAATCAAAATGGAACTAGCCTTACTAGTGTAATTGATTCAAATGGAGTCATTTTGAAGATGTCCACAATTTTACTGAAGTCTTCTTCATCGAATGAGTTATATATTAGTGACGAGGATGGTACAGCTGTATACTTATGGACAGTTGGTGCAGCAGCGCCGAGTTTAAACCTTACAAGCGTTGGATGTGGTAATCTGAATAATCCGAAAGGAATCAGATTAGATGCGAATGGTAATTTATACGTTGCTGATTCTGGCAATTCGCGTATAGTAATGTTTTGCACCAACTCAACTGTAGGAACTGTTATATTAACCCTTAGTAGTAGCCCAGTGGATCTTGATTTGGATCTCAATCTTAATTTGTATGTTATGTTGAGTAACGGTCAGGCATACAAATATCAATTAATTTAAATAAACTATGTACTTTTCTCACAGCTTTATCGCACGTTGAGATTAATTCACTCTCATGCTCTTTTGATCTTTACTGGTACAGTTTTCTACGTTCTTCAAGTGCGTTCTATATATTTGATGTTTGTTTTGATTTTTTAATTGAATAAAGTTCTTGCTTACGTACGTACATCAACATTTATATTATATTATATAAAGATATATATATATACTTAAATTCCAAATATTATAATAAACATGTCAGTGGGTGGGTGTAGTTATTTTTTCTTACGAACTGATTTCCATGCTGTCACATTCACACCTTCAAGATGCGTACTGTCATTTTTGATTGAAGACACAGCTTTTGTTGTCGAAATTAGAATAGGTAAATGGTTCATTTCTACTTATGTGGTATAATGATTCAAATTTATAGCTTCAATCTCTCCATCATAGGAATCAAATTGTTTGTATAATAACCATTATCAAAGATCTACGTATTGATCTTTTAAATATATAAAAATATAAAGATGAATCGTCATATTCATTTTAATCAAAAGTATTATGAGAACAAAATAAATTATAATGGAAATATAAGAGTCAGATTTTATAAAGAACAGGGCTGCGTATTTTCAAAGTGACAATTCGAAGAAATGTCATAATCCCACCCTCATACTTTTTATATAGAGTTAGTGTAGTGTGTGTTGTTCGGGTGATGCATCGCTTTCCATGTCAGCCCATCTTACATGTCTATTGGAATCCACAGTCTCGACACCATAATCGCTACTGTCGTTAACATTAAAAGAAACAGTTTGTTGAGTAACTGTGGAAACATCAGCATCTTGTTTTTTGTTTTTCGTCTTACTTTGTCTGAAAATTTAAAGAGAAAATAGGTGACAAAAGTTCATTCGATCTCATCATCTGAAAATAGTCATTATTCATCTGAAAGTTATCAGAAGAAACGCTTAATTCTTACATTTTGGAATGTGTATATGAATTCAATAGAAATAAATTAACTTTTATATAGCAAATCTCTAGCAAGTAACTATTCGTGTATTTGTCTTTATCCAACAGAGACAGCAAAAAGTTTAAAAATCGAAATTTCACCTTCTATTTAGCTTGAGGACAACGAAAAAAATCAATTTATTTCAAGGAACTCAACCAATATGTACGAATCACAATTAGGCTGTTCTTAGGAAATATTCGATACTGATTGATGCATGAAGATTAATCAAGGGGGAAAAAGCTGATTCTATGGCGATAGAATCATCGGAATCACACGGAATCACTCAGAATCAATAGAATCACACAGAATCAATAAAATCAATAAAATCACATGGAATCACATGGAACCAATGGAATCGCTCGGAATCACTCGGAATCACCTGGAATCACATGAAGAAAAAAACACCTAAAAAATGCATGTATCTACTTCTTATCATGCTTGATCGAATACATTTCACTAGTTAGAAGCAGTTAAGTATTTTTTTGGCAGTTTTTCACCGAGCAGTAGAATTTATTTTACCATTTTACAGCAAAGAGGCAGATTTGATTAAACTCTTGTATAATTTCTACGAAAACATACACGTTTGACGGTTTAAATCGAGGTTTTCGCCTACTTCCTCTTCGTTATAGCAATGGTGAGTGCGAATGGGAGAACAAAGTCAAAGATTATTGGGTAGATTTCTGTAGCATAGAGAAAGGCGCGTAAGCAATAACGATGATTATATTATTCTAAAACTCTGTACGCCATAACTACGTAGTCTAAAGATGGCAAGTTTTGGTATTTAACGCAACGAAATGGTTTTATTGTAGATGTCATTCAGTAGATCGAAGCTATTATTCATTTAATAGAGTAAGAATAGGATGAGCACCATGTAAAATTATGAAATAGTTCAATTCCAAGTTTAGAAAAAACTCAGCTTACATCTCATAATTTGTCAAAACAAGTAATAGTGTGTCAGACTCTTCCTAAATGATCTAATCAATATATATAGCAAGTTAATATGGTAGTCAAATAGACGATTGAAAGAATAAGATGATATTTACACTTGATATACCGTGTCACATATTATCATTGGAAGAAAAGAATTGATGCATTGAAGATGTTATGTATTTCATAATAGAAAAAACGTTTGCAGTCTAACAATATTAAATGGATCTAATAAATTGCTCGAATAATAATAATACATGGATAAATTTTCGACATGATTAAAAATACGAGCACGCGTATCCACTTTAAAAAGTTGTAATCGTTTTGGATGGTTTATTTGTTAAGTTATTTGATGCCCTTTCACATTTTATCTCAAGTAGACAGTAAATAGAGTTTCTGAATTCCATATTTTCAGTCCTCAAGAGACTAAAGCGATAAGTTTTTCGACAGCTTTTACCATATCAATCAAATTATCGAACCATTTTCTGATACATAATCAGGTTCCCAAGCAATTTTCAACTGATTGAGTGCAAAACGATTCTTTCCCTAATCGACTCTCCCCCAACGACTCCCTGGGGATTCTTCTAGGGAGAGTTGACTAGGGTTGACTTTTCAAAGTCAATCAAATTAATCTGATTGTCCAAGTCAGAACAGTTAGAAAACTTGACTGGTTGGCACGTGAGAAACTGCTTTAAAATATGGGCGACCCTTTTTCTTTAATTTCCTTTATACTAAAGGATAAAGATAAATTATTTACTGATCGCTTTTTCCTAAAGATAAAGGATACATTTATCATTGCTTAGTGCAGTAAGACTAAATGACCACTCATATTCTATAGCTAATTAAGTTATCAATATTCTTCGATGGAACTTGCACCAAAACTCTTACAATTGCAAATTTCTATCGTCTTTAATAATGAGGAAATGAGAAATTTTTCGACCTAAGCGATCTCTCTTGTTTCATACATTCCCAGGTCGAGCAATCCGACAGTAGGCACCTATCGGAACCCATCCGATCCGACTGGAATCCAATAGGATNCGTTATGCTGTTGTTCCATCGCAGTACTTTCTCGGTCTTGAGAGTCACAAACAATGATGTTCGAAAGGAGTCTATAGAATATCGTGTGGTTCTCAACTTTTTGAGAAAGATTGGTGCTAGCATACACAAAGAGGCTATCTTTTGTGTTTGATACAGAAAGCAAAATGAAAAATTAAGTCATCTACTTGAGCGCTCAGGCTGCTTTATACTTTTGGAGTTTACTCTCTTCACGATCCTTCACTTCTTGACGTTTAAGGAGTCCTCAATGAGGACTCCTCTCTCCATACCATTGAACTTTTACAAACTGTATATATTAACTATGAGCTCCGATTTCGAAATCAAAACAACAGTGGTAATCAGGATAGAAAATAAGGAAAACGCGAGAAATAACAGTAATCCAATTTCTTTCATGATTAAATGTTGATTCCAGCTAAACCTAACGTTTTGACATCATTACCGAGCGAGAAAATTCACTTGCGATCTGTAATTCTTTGAGTGATCATGGTAAAACAATGAAACAAACCGCACCGGTCTGTTGGTCGGTTAGATGTCATCCCAATATGTTATTTTATTGTTGTGAAATGAGAACCGATACCCTTTTCGTTGAGATTCAGCAATATACAGATTATGTCTCTTGTGCTCAACTCAATGATTCTTGCGATCATAAGTGAACTGATTTCTCTATTGAATGGAATGATCGGGAGTCTTCTGAATTCATCTGTGTAATGATTTTATAATGTTCCTATTGATGTTACGACATTATAGTCGAGAAATACGGTGATATTCATAGTGATTCCAGAGCCGATGGAATCACATGGAATCACACGGAATCAATGGAATCAATGGAATCACACAGAATCAACAGAATCACATAGAATCATGGAATCAGCTGTTTCCCCCTTGGATCAGATTCAATCCATTTTGGCAACAGAACGTAATTTTGTATTGCATTCCCAATCACCTGTGTGGCCAAATGATCGTATTGCCGAGATTCAACACGCAGACTGGTATCGGTCAATTGCTGAAAATGAAGATAAATCTAACTTTATAACCCTCATGTTGAATGTTGACGGAATAGCCATGTCGGGAAGTTCAGATAACAGCCTTTGAATTTTTACTGTAAGCTGCCATTAAAATTAATTTGTATGATTAATATATAACTGATCCTTTTAACTTACAATTCATCATGAACGAGATCAATCGATCTGATCGTTATAAATTACAGAATTGTATATTTGGTGGTGTATGGCCAGGGCCTCAAAAGCCCAGTAGAGAACAAATGCTTGCTATGGTTAAATCGATGACTGAGGAATTACAGTCATTAGAACATGAAAATGTTTACTTCATTAGAGCTTTAAGAGATCGATTCGTGAAACTGAAAGTTTTTTAATTGGAGCAACATGTGACAAGCCTGCACAGGCATTAGTACAGAATACACCCGAGCCTATTTCAAAGTTCGGCTGTGGTCGTTGCGAGATTCCTGGTACGAGTGATTTCTTATGAGAAAGAAACGTAGGAATTTTTATGGAAAAATCGAATGATGCGAATTTCCAAACATTTTCTATGCAATACTCTTACATTTTTGAGAATCTTAATTGTGAAAAACTCCAAAAGAGAAAAAAATGATTTTGATTGATAATTAGTTCTATATTGGATAAACAAATTGACCAATATTCAGTTAGAAAAAGCATTGAAGTGCATATAGATTAAAATCATGCATCATTGAGATTATTATGATTATATACGAACATATTAGTTGTTCTCAAATCTTTATGACTTAAAATTAATCTTTTTTTAAATAAAAGCTTTTTCAATCGAGGATTCGATTTTCTCACAACTAATGAATGAAATCTATTTATGAACATTCACCATATTTCTGATTCTCTGATTATTTAACGAGTATTTTTAAAAATTGCTCTGATGCAGTCTATATACAAAGAAAATTTCTTCTTTCTATCATATTAAAATTTCTTCACTCGTTTTTTTTCATATTTTCTAGGTATTATATATGATTATTTTCTAATCTAATGTTGCTATTTCCTTGTTTTTAGGAGTCACGGTTCCTAGCCGCGAAGCCATCAATCACCATATTCGCGTTTTTCCATTGTCGTCAAAAGCTGATAATAAAGCAGAATGTCGATCAAATCAAAACTACGATCCAATCATGACAATGGATAGTCCAACAGAAGATCAACGAAAAGGATATTTAGGAAAATGTGCGTTACGTTAAGTGAAGTATTTCGATGTGGGTGAGTCTTTTCTTACAGACTCGCTTCATAATCTTTATGGTGGTGCTATGGTTAGTATACTTTTATTTGAATTAGATGAAATAGAGATAATAACGTTTATTATGCATAGTATATCATTTGCTAGTATATAACAATTAGTAAGGTACTTCTATAGAAGATAGTTCAAATCAGGCTACTCTAAAGAAACAAGGTATCATTCATTTCTTTCTATATTATTCGGAAATTTCGACTACGCTATTCAATTAAATTGAAAAGATCACTATTTATTGTATTTTCAATTGTATGTTATTTTCTTTATTTTAAGAAAAAATTGCTCAAATTGTGGTTTTTAGAAGATTTTAAACGTTCAAATTGGTCATGCTTTACAAAACTTACTATCTTAAGCAAAACGTTAAGTCATTATCGATACCCATCAACAACAAGTAGAACTCCAAGACCACTTGTTAAATTTCATCGGTTTAAAGCTAATGAGCTTCGTTTAATTTTACTTTTTGCAGCGCCTGTGTTTAAACATTATTTGACCTCAACTATTTATAAAAATTATCTTTTACTTGTGTTTGCACTGCACCTTGCTGAATCTCGTTCACTGCGATCTGAAGATATTGAAGATATTCAATTTTTATCAAATCCAAGGAGTACTTTCTTCTACACTAGTGAATAATGTATTTGAGCGCGATTTATTTTAGATACTTTTCTATATGAATATCCGCTATTGTATACCGATCATCACAATCAGCAAGTGATGCATAGCATTGATCATGTTGCGCAAAGTGTTCAGAACTATGGTCAACTATCAAATTATTCAACCTATAATTTTGAATCTGTTCTTGGTAACATAGTTTGTTCATTTTTGTATACCTGTCTATCTATTTATTTTAGGTATGTTACGAGCAACTGTGCATAGTACGAAGCATCATGCTAAAGAAATTGCTAATACAACGAATTTACTGCGTCTAACTATTCGAAACACTCTTGCAGATGATTTCAACAATGAGCTGAAGAGTACATTGGAACAAATTCAAAGTAAAAGACGAATCAACTTGAGTAGAACATCAATGGATAAAAGTAGACATCATAGTATTATTAAATTACGAATGAAACACAAAGTCGAAGGCAGTCAATACAAGGATATCCAAGAAATGTTCCAATATGACGAAGTTCAACCATATCACATAGCTTTTGTCGGTACAACGAGATTTACTACAAGAGACTTTGCAAAAACAAAAAAACACGATGACTCGTGCATTCTTTATC